GAATGGTACCATTGGAAGAAGAGTTGGTTTTGCTTTGTTTTGTTCTGTTCTGTTCTCTTCTGTTCTGTTCTGTTTTAACCCCCAATTTCCATCACATTTTCTGGCAGGATTTATAAGCAAGAGGCAATAATATACATTTTTTAAAATCCCTTTTATCTGCTGTGGCCCTTCCTTCTGCTTATGCTCCTTCAGCCAACCCGGTGTCCTCATGTCCTATGTCCCCTAAGCATCAAACATAAGCCTGTGGGCAAAATGCTCCTACCTGGCTGAGGGCATGATGTTTTAAGGGTTGTTTGGGGAAACCTTCAAGAATCTGACCCTTAATTTGCTAGGATATGTAAACTAGTAGCATTCACTATTGTCCAGCGGCCTTTTGCTATAATCGTAGGATTGTCTATCTGCCTTCGCACTGTCTGATGCTATTCAAACTCTGTTTGAAGCAGGGTGTTGCTGAGATATTATTGACAAAAGGAAAGTGCTTATGAATAAAGCCTCTTTATATACTTTGCGCACACTTAGTCTTGTTTCATGCTCACATGCCTGGCATGAGTCCTCTCTATTCACTGATGTTATCGATAAAAAATTCACATGGCCAGCATCTGTTGGGTTTTCTGATCATATGGCCCACTCTTATGAAAACACAGATACCCTTGACGTAGACTTAATTTTTTCTACCATGATAGTTCCTGGAGTTGCTGAGTTCCCAAACTTTAGGCTTCAGAGTAGCTGAAGTTACTTTTCATTTTGACTAGAAATTTTACAATCACTTGTCTTCAAGGGATGCAGCTTAATAATCTAGGATTTATGAGATTGGAAAACAATCTAACTTGTCCCCCACTCTGTTATCTTCTTATTTGCCTCCATTTTGTGCATTTTGTGGGTGGGGCAGGAGGAGGTTCTAGAAAATGTTGCCACCTTGTGCATCTCATCTTTCAGTTTGAGGGATCAGTCATGGAAAAGGCAGATCCTACATCAAATTCTTCTCTACGTTTTGCATGGGGAAAATCTTTACAACATAATTTTTATGCAATTATATGTTTCTATTTTGTATTTTGAATTTATAGTTGACCATGAATGATTTCAGCGTACATAGGATCATTGGACGAGGCGGCTTTGGTGAAGTATATGGTTGCAGGAAAGCAGACACTGGAAAAATGTAAGCTTCCTATGCTCATACATTTTGCTGGGAATATTAAGAGGATTTTATGCTTGTACCCAGAGAAAGCCCCTGCATAGATTTATGAAAGCCCATGATCTCACTCCTGAAGTAATACACCTCAGAAATAGACATTCTCTTTTAAATAGTGAAGATTTAGCATATGTAGTTTTGGGTGACGTAGCATTCCAGGAGACATCGGTTCTGCAGATGAGTAGTGCTAATGAAGAGAATGGATGCTATAAAGATCAAGATTGTGGGTTTTCATCACCCATTTCAGTCACTTATCTCACAAGAGACTGATAGGAGGCAATTAAGTGCACATGAGCCAGGTGTAAGGGTCTTCCAGAAAGTATATGGTAGAGTTCTTAAGTATGGAAAAGTTTTTGTTAATATAGAAGCACTTTAAGTGAAAATATTTCTGAAAGCCAAAGAGAATGGAAGAGTATGATTCGATAGACCTAGACCTATAAGTTTGGTCAGGTGGTAGACATGTTAGAACAGTGGGCAAGGTGGAATAATCTGTGAAGATGGTTTATGAAATCATTGAGTCAGTGTTAGGAGTAATCGAGGTCACCTAATTCAGTGCCCGTCTCCTATTGCTGCCCCAGCATTGCCTACAGATTGTCACTCAGCCTCTTCCTGGCTGCATCCTGGGACTGGGCACTGACAGCTTTGCCAAGCAGTCCTTTCTGATTTCAGGCAGGTCCAATAGTTGGCATGTTTTTTATTATTTGGCAGCTAAAATTTACCTTCACTAATTTGTTCCCATTGCTCTTCATTTTGCTTTGGGACCCTGTGTGGGCTGAACCCAATACCTAACACCCAGGTGTCTGAAGTCTGGCCTGGTGCTGAGACAGGAGAGCCTAGTGATTAGGAGTGCAGGTCCTGGTGTCATTTGGCTAGGTCAGATTCAGCGTCTGCAGTTTCTGGCTTGAGCAAAGTTTGTGCCTGTCTGAGCCTCCACATCCTAGTCTGTAAAGCAGGGATAATAAAAGCACCTAATTTGTGAGAATTAAATAAGGTAACACATCATAGGAACAGAGTCATTCTTTCCCATTCGTACTTGCTCAGTACACCATTTCATCCTAAATGAGATACTTTACTTGTCGCTTGTTACATTTTACCAAATCGTTAATTTTATTTTCATCATTGAAGCTTGTTGAAGTATTTAGAATATCTTAGTCTGTCGCATGATGTTGTAGAGGTAAATAATATCAATTTGTTTCTTCATATACATTTATTATTTCACCTGACTCTCACAAACTGACATATAGTAGAGTGTCTTTCAATTTAGGTTTGTCTCATGCTTTTCTCATAGTTAGATTGGGGTGGTGGGCTTTCAGAAGGAAGACTCCCAAGGTAAAATGCCATTCTCACCACATCATATCAAGGGTACTTGTTAGTAATAAAGTGATATCACTGTTGATGTTAACCTTGATCACTTGGCCGAGGTTGTGTTTGTCAGGCTGCTCTGATGTGGATTTCCTCTCCCCCTTCTCCTCTGTGGTGTGCTCTGTGGAAGGAAGTCACTGTGCATAGCCCAGAGTGGGGGACTGATACTCTACCTCCTGGAGGGGAGTGCCGACTTTTTTTCTTAATATAAGCAAAATAAAGATTTTTTTTTTTTTTTATGCATGGCACTTAGGTACCATTTTGCTTCATTAAATACTGCCCAAATCTTTAGAAACTTTCCCCAGTATGATGTGTATGGTTTAAATCAGAGTAGGTCTATTTTGAGTGTCAATTTTTCAACAATATTTATGTTTCCAGGTATGCAATGAAATGCTTAGATAAGAAGAGGATCAAAATGAAACAAGGGGAAACGTTAGCCTTAAATGAAAGGATTATGTTGTCGCTTGTGAGTACAGGAGTAAGTATTCAATTTCGAGCATTGCTTTTTTCTTTTTGGTATTTGTTTTATATCAAGACAGTTGGACAATGTATTTAAAATGCAGGCATTTTTTTCTGGTGAATTATGGGGCTAGTGGTTCTTGGGTGGGTTAGAATTTATAGCAGGAAATAGCAGTACCGAGTTAGTTTAAATAGTGGACAATTCAAATATTATCTCTGTTTAATTCAGGAGTTAAAAAAGTACGAGCAGCCATCGCTACGAACACCCGTGACTTCTCCCTTTAGTGCTTGTTTGTGATTTCCTTCTTTGAGGGATGTTGGTGAGCAGGCAGGAAAATAATCACGACAACAAAAATCACTAGAGTATAGTTCAGAATGGACTGCATGACTGAGGACTAACCCAGAGAGGAAAAGTAAGAGAAAGTCACGCCTGTCCTTCATAAACAAATAGAGAGGAAGCAACTCTGGCTGATTCAACTCTGAATTGTCCCTGTGGGCTTGTCCCCAATCAATGTTTCCTTTCAAGGTGACTTTATCTTCTCAGCACTTTCTACTTTTTATTTGCTGTGGATTTTGGCTATATCCATTTCCAGGGCTATGTCTCTGCCCATTGGACATTTTATTTGTACGTCAAGCTAGCATGTTTAGTTTAACGTGTGTGAAAACAGACTTTGACAGTGTGTCTTCTTTACTTGCAAAACAGCGGCCCATTCTGACTTCTTATCTGTTAACGATATTACTCAGGATCAAAGCCTTGGCTTTTATTTATTTGGACAGATGTATATAAAGACACATCGAGGAAAACTCACCGTCCCAGAAACTTAGGCATGCCTGTGTGCCCCAATAGGCCTGTCACATCCGGTGTTTGAGGTCAGGGAGTCGAAGTCTAGAAGGAAAGGGTTGTAGTGAGCATGAATCGTGCTGTGTAGTTCACATGTGAATTCCACGTTAAACATCAAGCCAGGAAGTCTATACACACTGAGACATGTGGGGGGCCTCCAGATACCATGGCTGGGTTCGAAATAAGGTCATCTTCACCCAAAGGATGTGAAGGAATCAAATTTTAATGATGAACCAAAGAATCCCTTTTGTCTAGTAAGCAAGGAACCAGAGACTCAGGTTAATTTCCTTACCTGAAGCCTCTGGTCTCCCTGGGACTCTGCCAGTGCTCCTTTCTCATCATCTCTGTTTGGGTTCCATGTTTTTTGTTTATCATGTTATTTTTATTGCATTGTGGTTAATATTATTCTAGCATGAGTTTTGCTTATTCTAGAAGAGCTTCTGTTATTGAAGCAAAAGATCGTAATTTAGCTCAACTATAACACATGAAAATGCCACAGGTATAAATAATTTCTAATTATGAGCCTCTGCTTCCCAACATATGGACATTAAGCATTTCAAATAAGAGTTATTACCCTGTGTATGTGACCAAGTTTTCAGCTGATTGGAATGGAAACTGAACAGCCTGCTCACTGTACTGGGATAAGTGCGAGCGGCATTGGCTCCTAATTTCTACCGGAAATGTCTTTGTCTTAAATTTCTAATGTGGATGTGCGCTTCCTGCAGAGTTTCAGTGGTTATTAAAATATTAATTTTTAATGAGTTATCTCAAAGCCTTGGATATTTGTTCTCAAGAAAGCCTATGGAAAACAATTCTTGTTGGAAAAATATTATGTACAATTTTCATATAGTGTTTTTGTTTTTATTTTATTCAGATGAAGGAGGATGTGGCTAAATAGTTGTGTGGTTCCTGAGTGGTCTACCTACCCCTAAGGGAAAAAATAAAAAAAAATTGAGTTATATTGGGCTATTGCTTTGAACTAATTTTCATTCAAATATCAAAACTTTATTATTTTTTACTTATTAGAACATAATTTAACCAAAGGAGTTGTAGTAAAGTTATTTGGAATTGTTGTTGTTAATCAGAGGCTACCGTTTACAGGTTTTTAGTAATCTTTAGTTTAAAATTGGCTCATTAGGGTAGACTTTAGATCAGCTTGTATAAACATTTCTCTGGGCATTGATATGAAACTGAACTTCAGTCACTTAACATAGTTTTTTTCCAGAGTATTATTTTTTTCTTTTAATTTCAAACTGAGTATTCCCACCCCCTACCCCACAAAGAAACAGTAAGCAGTACCATTCCCAGTTTAATTCTATAATTCTTGGGTAGTAACAAGAGAGATCTGCCTGTTTGGGATCCAGGACAAGTGTGTCCATAGCTGGGAGCAGCAGTTGGCACCTTCATTAAATAAGTTCTTTAGTATTCATCAGATGTATTATTTATTCATTCCTTGAACCATATTTGAGGGCCTAGGTTGTGCCAGGCACAACCTAGATGGGGGTCCCAAACCTTGACTTTGCTCCTTGCTCTTATAGAGAATGAGAGAAGAATGAGAGAAGGTGATAGTATTCAAATAATCTCGGAAATGTATAGGTAATTGGAACATGTGGCAAGCATTATGAAAGACAGGAACACAGTGCTCAGAAAGCACTTCCCAGGGTGGAGGTGTTGTCGGCGAATGCTCCTCTGCAGTCAGAGTAGGCGCTGCTGCGTTTCTGGTCCTGAGCACAGAGGGTTTGGGGACTTCAGAGAAGGCTGCATAGCTGGGGTCTGATGTGATGGAGTGAGTAGCACAAGACGAAACTGGAGACAGAGAAACAGACAGAGGCTAGACCAGACCCGACCAGACCAGATCATAAAGGGCTTTCTGGGCTAATATAGAGGATTTCAAAAAGTCTTACAGCAGTTAGAAATGAAGTATGTTAAGTAGGAAGATAACATGGTAAGTTTCTCAGTTGCTCTGACTGCAATGTAGAGAAATTTAGTTTTCTTGTATTTTTAGCATCACAAATCCTAGCTTTATTTACAAGCAGGCAGGAGGAAAATATAAATAGAAAAATAGCTGAGACAGGCTTTGATTTCCCTGGCCTTCCTCACTGTACATGAGAACAAGTTTTATTTTTTACTGATTTTTATTTTAAATTTATTTTTATTTTTCAATTTTGGTTGACATTCAGTGTTAGTTTCAGATGTTCAACATAGTGTTTAGACATTTATATAGAGAAATTTCTTAAAGAAATACCTCATGGTCTATTTTATCACAGTTATATATAGACTTCCTGCAAAATGCAAGCTCTTTTGCTCAATCCCTATATGAAATCAGAGATAGTTCGTTGCTGGTGAGCTTTATTTAAGGATCTACATCTAAAAATTCTCTAATCCTTATTTACCTTAATTTGTACTCTAAGCAGAATGTCCGAACCGTAACTATCTTTGGAACTATATCAACACCATTCGTTAAATTGGTGCCTATTTGTTCATATTGGTCAGTGTTCGATTCTTTGTATCTCAGACTCCACACGTGACTCTGTATGGTATCTGCTCAGCATCTATCTGAAAGGTGAGGGATTGCAGTTAGTAAGTTCTGTAGAAGGAACCCAAAGATGTCCCTTTAACCATGGTTTTATTTTAGACTGCTGTGGAAGCTTTACTTTTAGAAGTAGCATAACAGAGAGGGGAGAACTCTGGAGAGGGTCAGGAGGCTTGGGGTTTGAATTTTGGCTGGCTACCAAATTTCTTAGTGACCTCAGGCAAGTCGTTTCCCTTTTGGGGGTCCTTAGTTTCCTTGTCTTTAAAATAAAGAAGTTGGATCAGGTGATTTTTTTTTAAAGAGCCCTCTCTACTCAGCCTATGATTCTAAAGCTACAATTCACACCCCACTTTAATAATGTAATATCTTAAGTATACTTTAAGCTTTTGGTGTTTTCTCGGGGCTATGATTAGAAGGATCATGTACCATCACATTCAGTAATACCCCTTGGCAGGGTCTACTTGTCCCCTTGGTGAAGTGAGTGAGGTTGCTGTCTCAAGCTAGGAAAGGCCTGGCTGTACTAATTTCTGGGTCCACCTACTTCTCTGCTCTACAGATGAACAGCTTATTAGATCAAGAGCCAGAGTATGTGGGGAACTCTAGTTAGGAAGGGGCAGAATGAGCCATCTTCAGCAGGCTATTGGAAAAGTCTGGCGAAACGTAGGTGGGTTCTGAGTGGGACAGTACCCGCTGCCCCCACCACCCCCAGAAAGACATACGGCTTTTAATAGGAAAAGGGTAGCACCTTGTTTTACCTATTTAAAGCAAAATAAATCTTGAAATCAGTGGACTAATTCCATCCCAGCAGAACGCTAAGGAAAACTAGAACAGCACAGATGAATTTTCACAGGGAACACATGCGTGTACCTCGCACTCAGATCACAAGATAGAAAGTTACCAGTATTCCAGAAGCCTCTTTGTGCCCCTTTCAGTCACTTACTCCACGCCCAGGCTAACCACTACTCAGATTTCTAACACCATAATTTAGCTTTGCCTGTGTTTGAACTTTTTTATAAATGTATTCTTTTGTTTCTGGCTCCTCTCATTCAGTGTTGCCTGTGAGATTCATCTGTATCATTGCACACGGCCATAGTGTACTCTATAGCTAAATTCAGGGTTCGGTGACCTATATATAGCCTGTGGACCAAATCTGGCTTGTGGCCTTTTTTTGGTACAGCCCAGGAATTAAAAGTGGCTTTGACATTTTTAAAGGATTATAAAGCAGATAAGCAAAGAATATATGGCAGAGACTGTATGGGGTTTGCAAAGCCTAAGTTGTTTACTATCTAGCTCTTTGTGAAAAAAATTCGTTGGCTCTTGTTTTCAAGTATTCCATTACATGAATATACTGCAATTTAGGTATCCATTCTACTGTTGGTAGACATTTGGGTTATTTCCTGGTTTGGGCAATTTTGAATAGTGCTGTGAGTAACATTCTTATGCAGTCCTCAGGGTGCACATAAGTACAGATGCCTGTGAGGCGTATACCCCAAAGTGGAGATGCTATGTCACAGAGTTTGCAGGCGGTGCTCAGTCTAGTGGATAACCACCCAAGAGCTTGTGAAAGTGGTCGTACCACAGTACATTCCCAGCAGCCACGTATGGAAGCCACATTTACTCCATACCTTTCCAACACTTGGTATTGTCAGTATTTTTAATTTTAGCCAATTCTCGTGAGTGTTAGTGATAGCATGTTGTGATTTTGAATTTGCATTTCTTTGGGGACAGCTGAGGTCCAGTATCTGTCCATAGGCTTTTGGCCATTTGAGATAGCCTCTTGGGCCATTCAATAGTCTCTTTCTTATGTGAAATGCCCATTTAATTATTGTTATTATGATATGCCATTTTTCTGTTGAGTTGCTTGCCTTTTTCTTTGTTGATTTATAAGAGTTCTTTATATATTTTAACTAAGAGTCCTTTGTGTGTTTATTATTGCAAATATCTTTTTCCATTCTGCTGCTTGCCTTCTAAGGAACAGAAGTTCTTAGTTTTATTTTAGTCCAGTTTATCAATGTTTTTATTGTTAGTGCTTTTTGTGGCCTGTTGAAGAAACTTTTGCTTACCTTAAGATCATGAAGATATTCTCTTTTGTTTTCTTCTAGAAGCTTTATTGTTTTACCTTTAGATCAATATCTACCTGGAGTGGACTTTAGTGTGTGGTGTGAGGTAGGGAGAATGCTCATATTTTATTGTAAGCTATACAGTTGCTCCAGCACCACTGACTTGACAGCCAGCCTTTCTCCCTCCCCTTTTGTGTCACTCATCGCAAATCAATTGTCCGTTTATGTGTGGGTCTATTTCAGAATTCTCCGTCCTGCTCATTGGCTGTCCTTGGGTTAATACCACACTGTCTGAATTACTGTTGCTTTATAATAAGTCTTGATATCTGGCACTCTGAGTTTTCTAGCTTTGATATTTTTCAAGGGTATTTGAACTTCTTTGGCTGTCTGTGTTTCCATATAAATTTAGAATCTGCTTGTCAGTTTTCATTTTAATCAAGATTATTACATGGACTCTATAGATTAATTTGGGGGAAATTGACATCATTACAACTGAGTTATTCAGACCTTGACCCTGGTGTATTTTTCCACTTTCAAAAACTAATTTAATGCCACTTTTATTCCCACTGTTTCACGGCAATAATACAGATAACATTTATCCCCCCAGCCCTCCTCCCCACCTTGGTTCTTCCAACTTCAGAATCAGAGATTGAAATGGATATTTGACCTGCCAGAACCAAAATGTAGACTATCAAAAGGACTAGTAAGACAGTAACATTTTTATGTAGAATCTGAGTCTTTTGAAAAAGATGTTGATAGAGGAGCCATGATTGAATCTGAGTGAGAGAGGACCTTTGAGTTCATCTGCTCTGATTCGTAATATTGTGTCTCTATACATTTTATCATGTAACCAGATCTGTTTTAGTGTGACTGTTAGAATTACCACGTAGGCGTCTGTGCTCAATGCACAGGGCATGGATTTAAAAATCTATAGCTGATGTTTGGTGGTAGAAGTAGATATGCTTTCCAGGAAAGCTTTTGCTTTTCTTATAAATGTTTTCTTTCTTTTTTTTTTTTTTCACTCTAGGATTGTCCTTTCATTGTCTGTATGACCTATGCCTTTCATACTCCAGATAAACTCTGCTTCATTTTGGATCTGATGAATGGTAAGCAAAGCCTGGGAAGCCTGACTACACTGAAAAACCGTGCCATGGTGTTAAATCTTATCATGCATTGATCTAGGCTGGCAGGCAGTTTGAGTCTTTCAGATAATTAGTTTCCCCCTGAAGCTTAAGGAAACCTTTTATTCTTCAAGTTTTAGTTAAAATTCATTTAAAATGTTGACTGTGGTTTCCTCTGGCCCTCCCAGTCCTTCCCCAGGAAGTTGCATTTTCTAGAAAAGATCTTCAAAAATACTTAAGAGTGAAACTTGACTTTCTGGAATGCAGCTGGCCTAGATCTTTAATTAGCTTGTTTCCTGACCCTCAACTTTTAGGAATGAAATGTCTCATAAGAATATAGCTTAAAATGTTAAAAAAAAAAAAAAAGAAAAGAAAAAAAAAGAATATAGCTTAAAGATAGAAATGTATTTATAAACTAACTTGGAAGATTTTAGCCCAATTTTCTGTACCTTTAGCCCAGATCTACTGTACCTGATCTTTTAAACTATGATGACCCTGAGAATACTGAAAAAGTTTTAGCTAGAAAAAAAGTTTAAGTTCTTGGAAATGTTATTATGTTTTGAGAGTTTGATTTAAGACCAGATCTGTCCAACAACATGAAGGAATTTCACAGGCATAATAATGAGCAGAAGAAGCGAGACACAGCAGCATACATCCTATACAATTCTGTTTATGTGATCGTCAGAACAGGCAAAACTAATCAATGGTGAGAGAGGTCAGAACAGAGTCCCCTTTGCCCAACCAGGAGCTAGGAACGGCATGGGAGGGCCTTCTGGGATGCTGGGGATCTCTTACATCTTGACCTGGTAGTGGTTATCAGGAACACATGTGTGGGAAAGGGAAGATGCTTGTAAAAGCCAAGGCAATAAAGTTGGACACACAGTAACTTCTATAGATCAATAGAAGCTTTTCCTTATAGTTTTATAAAAACATTCCTTGACCTTGTTGGTGGCATCTTTTAGAACATGTGATTATTTTGCTTTTTCCAACATTTTGTTATGAAAAATTTCAAACATATAGCAAAGTTGAAAGAATTTTCTGGGGACACCCAAATACCTACTACCTGAATTTTACCAGTTAAAATTTTACCTTATGTATTTCTAATAAGTCAAGATATGGAAGCAACCTAAGTGTCCATTGATAGATGAATGGATAAGGATCCATTAGATGAATGGTACATATATACAATGGAATGTTACTCAGCTGTAAGAAAGAATGAAATCTTACCATTTATAACAATATAGATGGACCTAGAAGGTATTATGCTAAGTGAAATGAGACAAAGAAAGACAAATACTGTATGATTTTACTTATATATGGATTCTAAAAAAACAAAATAAGTGAACAAACAAAACAGAAACAAACTCATATATACAGAGAACAAACTGATGGCTGCCAGATGGGAGAGAGGTTGGGAGCTAGGTGAAAGGATCGAGACGTACAAATTTGAAGTTTGGAAAATCATCACGGGGGTGTAAAACAGCATAGGGAATATAGTCAGTAATATTGTAATAACTGTGTGTGGTGCTAGATCAGTACCTAGACTTATCAGGGTGATCGTTCGTTATATAAATGTCTAATCACTATATCTACACTTGAAACTAATAATATACATCAATCGTAATAGAATAAGTATAAAAAATTTTTACTGTATTTGCTTTATCAAATATCTATCTGACCAGCTTATTTATCTATTTATTGTTCACAGAGTTAGTTGCTAAGCCATCTACTGGATCTCTACATAGAATTGATTCAGTTATTAGACAGGATTTAAGTAATCAAGCAGATGAGCCAATCCCGCCTTGTGATGGTGTATCTGGGAGCTGTGCTACCAACTTGAAAATTTTGTCTTATATTGTCCCTGCCATCACTGCATTTAAGCCTTCTCAGCGTTTAAATTTTCTCTTTAATTTTTAAAATGTTTTGTCAAACTGAAGAAATCAAAGATAGGCATATACACGAAGCAGAAGCATAGTTTACATTTTTCTACTATGTTCTAAAATTTAGGATGACAGTAATTTTTGTCCTTTAAATTCTGCATCTCTGATTCCAGGGGGTGATTTGCACTATCATCTTTCACAACACGGGGTGTTTTCTGAGAAGGAGATGCGGTTCTACGCCACCGAAATAATCCTGGGGCTGGAACACATGCACAGTCGGTTTGTTGTTTACAGAGATTTGAAGGTAAGGCTGTTTGACAGACTCGGTGTTTACTGCACCTGCGCAGTAGGTGGTGTGGTCATGGCCCTCCAGACGCTCATTCCTTTTTCTTTCATCATACCTGTCATTTTCCTCACCTCGGGGCTGATGAAGTTGTCATCTGTGTAATGGCAGTCTCTTCTAGACTCTAAACTCTGTGCTAGGAACTCATGTCCGTCCTTGTCAGTGTCACTTGGGTGCCTGCTATAGTGCCTGGTGCAGCACGCGCACTGATTAAAAAATTTTTAATCGATTAATTCATGAAAAGCAGAGTAGGAAGTTTTTGGTGTTGCCCATTTTACAACTAATTGTAACTCAGTTACCGTTCACCACGCGACCGATTTGGTCATGGCTCTGTATTAGACTTGGAGATGTACAGAGATAACAATCAAAGAACGTTGTCTCATAGGGCTTACTCACTGGTGAACCAGGCCGCAGAACGGCTGAGTCGTAGCTCATCTGGGGCATGGCCGATTACGTCTGGGTTGAGTTGCCGATCAGCCTGCAGAGCATCCCCCAGAGGCCACCGTCCGAGCTTTATGTTGTTCCACGATCACCTTAAAAATCACAGAAATATTTTTAGATCCCCGAACGACAGAACCTCGGACTACTGTGCTTGGGCTCCTGTTACTCTCTTTAAAATCTCATTGGACTTTGGAAGCAAGTAAATAAAAAATAAATAGTAAATAAAAAACAGATTTAAAAAAAGAATAAAATCTGGCCATTTGCAACAACATTGATGGACCTAGAGGCTATTATGCTAAGTGAAATAACCAGACAGAGAAAGACAAATACAGTAGGATTTCACTTATGTGTGGAATCTAAAAAAAAACCCAAGTGAATAAACAAAACAAAACAGAAACAGACCCATAGATGAGTACAGAGAACAACTTGATGGTTGCCAAAGGGAAGAGGGGGGGATTAAATAAGTAAGTGAATAAATAAAATCTCACTGGACTTGAAACAATAAGTCAGTTCTGAGTTTTCCCGTTCCAGACCATGATGCTTAGTCCTGGGTTCTGCATTAATGAAGGAGTTTGGAGTTTGCTCAGTACGGCTTGGTGACACCGATCTAGCCAACAGTTTGAAGATGGGGATAGGGGTAAAAGGGACAATGATAAATTATAGAAATGATGATGCAAATATATAAATAGGTAAATAATAATGAAAAGAAAAATGATAGGACCGACAATATCTCAGTAGCATGAGAAGACTCTTAAGAGAATGTGTTTGTCTCCTATCTCAAATACCTTCTTGAATGAACCCAAGGAAACCAACTGAAATATACAGATTACGTTCTTTTCTCCAAGGAGCGAATAAGTCCTGATTCGCTTTTGAAGGTTACCTTCTAAGAATCTAAAATATTTTACTTTTGAGCATGTAATTTTTTTCACAAAATACTTTGTAAATTTTAAAGCTTTTTTTCAAGGTTAAAGAATTATTCCCTCAATTTTCATATGATCATAAAGAGGAAAAATGTATTTTCATTGAATTAGAAATAATTAGACACTGGTTGACACATGACATTTTATTTCCTCATGTGGGTTTTGCAAAAGAATAATATACATGCTGAAGGCCCATGAAGTGCTATTATAATAGACTTTAATTTAAATCTATAACCAGTTTCTAATCGTCTTTATGCTGTAGTTTTGTCTTCTAAGCTATTTAGTAGGCACTGGTATTATTTAATTTCCATTCCAACTTAATTCTAATCACTCATGTTTATTCATGTTTCAGTTTTATAATAGCATGCCATTTTTATTTCAAGCAAAACAATAGTTGATCTCCAGCAGAAAAATATTAAAATGACTGTAATTCAATGTATATTAGGGAGAGGAGCTTTGTTTTCCATGATTATGCTGACTAAATCTAATCTTAATGGGTACATTTCATCAGAGTTGTGGTCAAAATCGTATTTGGTCATTCGGTAGGGCCCTATGTTGATTATGTACCAGTAAACAGAAATGACATTGATCGGGACTGGTATGGCACTGTGGAATATTTTGATTTCTTAGGTAAATGTTGGTACATTCTTGCAAGATTCCTTTCTGTTCCGGTCCTCATTCTCAGAAGTCCTTACAGTTCACAGAAGCCACAAAGCCAGTGGACTCACTCCCTTTGTCGAGGGACACGCTATTCGGGCTCGAATGCAGTGAGAGAAAGATGCTTTTTAACTCTGACGAATTGTAGTCACAGCCCTCCCCTGTTACCTGCCCTGTGTTTTATTTTTAAGGAGTTGAGTCCTTCGCTTCTATCATTACCACTTTCCTAAAAAAAAACTGTTATTCTCTGTATCGTGCCTTACTTGGTTGTGATGATATAAAGCTAGAATTCATGTTTAGGAAGAAACTATGAGAAAATAATAAGATATCAAGTGCCTATGGTTGTAGCAGTTCTCAAAGTCCCTGTGATGTTTTGAGGTCTCTCAAAGATCAACTTCTCTTTCTCTTTAGCCCGCAAATATCCTCCTGGATGAACATGGACACGTTAGGATATCAGATCTTGGTCTTGCCTGTGATTTTTCCAAAAAGAAGCCACATGCAAGTGTGTGAGTAGTGTATCAACTCTGTTCACCATCTAATGCGACTTATTTATTCGCTCAAACCCTGATCCGGTTGTGTGTCCCCCAGATTTTTCTTGCCAGGGGTAATTTTCAGTGTGATAATGTCAGGTCAGGGAAGAGCCACATCCTGGGCTGTGGGAGAGGAAATAAGAGCCATGTGTGTGGTTTTTTTTTTTTTTTCACTGTCTGCAGGGAGTGTGGACAGACCCCCCAGTGTAACTGCACAGGGACCTGGTGGTCTGTGGGAAAGATAGGGGCCCCGGCAGCAGACCGGAATCTGTGCTGGCTGTGTGACCCTATTTCAGTCCTTTTACCTGTTTGACCCTCAACCTATTCTTCTATAAAGTAGAGGTAATAATAAGTGTCTGAAAGTTGTGGTAAGGATAAATGAAAAGAGCCTATGCGCCAAATGCAGAGGCAGCTACATAGAACTGTCCAAGGCAGCTCCCAAATCACCTACCTGCAGTTCAGGCTTTTAACGTAGGTCGCGTTGTTAGATTTGAGTATTATATCGGTCCTCTGAATGTCTGTGGGGAAGAACCTCCCTGAAACCACAACCCTCAGCCAGCACCTGATCCTCAGTGGACCCTGAACTATGTCTGGCAGTGACTATGCTTGATCAGTGCATGTTGACACTGGCTTAAGGACTTCTCTGAACTTAGAATTAAAAAAAAAAGGAATGTCCGGGCTCTGCAGACACAGAATAGGATATGTATGAGTTTTCATTTCTGTTTCTTTGGTGTCAGTTTATCTGGATGGAAAGCATGGACAGGTGGGTAGTTTATGGAAAAGCAGACAACTTTTGCTTTATATATATATTTTAAATGTGTCATTCTTAACACCAAATCTTTTAAAATTTCATTTCATTGTATCTCTTGAGCTAACACTCATCTCTGTGTTGAATGGTCTTGAAGAAACTACCAGGTGGCTCAATTCAGGCATCCATGCAGAAAATAAACCACAGGCCCTTCTTTTTGTGGGCCTAGAAATAAAGTGGTTCCATATTGAAATGCTTTATGAGGAACCGTGTTAAATCAGAATTGCCTTTGAAAGCTCTGATCACATATTAATAGTGAGCAGCACCATTTCTGTAAACGTATTTCTCTTTTTCTACCGAATCTCGGATATGGTGATAATAGCATTAGCATTTGGCCAGCACTTTACAGTTATTAGGCCAGAGCCTGTGGTGGTAGGAGCTTCTCCCAGGGAGTTCATCAGACATTTTTAAGAGAGTCATTTGAATTTTTAATGCCACAGCTATTTGGTATGCTAATTTCTTCAGTTTAGTATAGTCACAACTGCGTATGAATCCAAGAGTTCATAAGAGTTAATCTTCCAATGGAATTAACTTTCAGGTATGAAGTTATTTATTTTCTTATTTTCTAGCCCACTTTTTCAGTAATTCACACGTCAGCTCTAATTCTCAGCATTTGAGCAGCATCCGTAAAGGAGTAGGGTTGGGAAGGTTGGTTTCCATGTTCACATGATAATAGTGAGGCCACTACTTAAAAAGACTAAATGCACGATGAAATACTATACTTTTAAGTAAAGGAGGTGTGTCGTGGCTAAGAACAAAGGCTTTTGAGCCAGCAGATTTGGGTTTGAATCCTCCTTCCAACTTGTGCCAGCCTCATTTTCTTCTCTATAAAGAGGAAGATAACAGTGATATTTACTTCACATGACAGTCGTGAAGATAAAGTCAACTAATAAATACAAGTATTCATTTATCATTAGCTGTGTGCTTGGTTTTGACAGTGCAGCGGTGAATAAGACCAGAAGGATCTCTGACCTCCTGGAACTAGCAGCCCAGGAAATTGTCAAGGAAATGACCGGTGTGCTAGGTGGCGGTGCCGGCAGCCACAGTGCTCATTGTGTCACGAGTTGAGCATCAGCTATCCCAGGCATGCATGGCTAGCTCCTTTGAATATGTTATCTTCACAGAAACCCCGTGGGTCGTAGGGTATAATTATCTACTTTTTATGGCATAGAAACTGAGGTTCAGAGAAATTAAGTAACTTGAACAAGGTCACATATCTGGCACATTGTGGGGCCTGAATTAAAAATCCAGTTCTGTCCGACTCCACCAAGGATGTGGCCCAGACCTTAGCATGTGCAAGTCCTCATCATGGAAGGGTGACGCCACACAGGAGTGGACATCCCCACCCCTTCAGGGTCCAACAGTACCGAGTAGTCACCTGTTTATCATCCCTCTTTCCTCTGCTGCCCCCAATCCCACACCTCTCCTCATAAGAGCTCTCGATCCGTCAGGAGACCTTTATCTCTCACAGCCGTAGTGAAATTCATATTTCACCTCCTAGACTACGAACTGTTCTTCATATTTATTTCGTATGGTAATTTATTTATATTAATTCCTATAGTAATTAAGACCGAAAAGGTTGTTTCCTCATCGGGTGTTGGGTGAATCATGGAAGCACATTGTTCCCTGTCCCTTGTTTACAGCTGTTGCCATTAAACAAATGATGCCAGAACCTCTTGATAAGCTGTTAATATTTTATAAAGTAGGCATGTTCTGATAACTGCATGTATACTTTCTTCTCCCTAGTGGCACCCATGGGTACATGGCTCCCGAAGTGCTGCAGAAGGGGACAGCATATGACAGCAGTGCCGACTGGTTCTCCCTGGGTTGCATGCTTTTCAAACTTCTGAGAGGGTGAGTGAAATGCATCTTTTTAGCGCTATCACCATGGCATGTACTTGGGTCAAAATCAAGAATATTTAGACTTTGTTAGACCCTAATATTATTGTAGATCATACAACGATCTTTAAGCCATATGCTAATCTAGACGATGATCGTGGCTCTTTCTGCCTTATGAAAGTGCAAGTTCGTTCCCATAAGATTATAGACAAAGCTATGGTGTTATATTTTTGTTCCATACCATGTAGGCATCATAACACAGACCTAAAATAAGACTGCTTGGAAATATTTCCATTGATAAGCCTTATTGGGGAATAAGTGTTATTTTAAAATATGAGTAATTGAAGACCGTAGGATTTTTTTTTCCAGAAATTAATTACTCATGATTGTCTTGTGAGCTTAAAGCCTTTTGAGGGTTACGAAAGAGGACAAAGACCCAAAATGACACCATTTTAAAACTGCATTTATTTGTAAACATGCTGAAATTAATTTGCTTTTTAAAACAAAAATGAAATTTTATAATTTTATGTTTCTAGTTAATTTATGTTATACTTGACCCTTAGTTCTAAATGACCATACATGGTTAAGTAGAGAGGAAAGATAAGAAAATGAAAGCGCTCTCAAAATATGTTCTCATGTTGGACATTTAAAAATTAATATTTCCATCAATTTTAAGAATTTTTAGCCAATTTTAATAGCTTAATTTTTTAAAATATGGTTTTGGTTATTCTTCACAGAGAGACAAAAAATGCTTTACATTAAAATTTCTTCATTCGCATGTTTTTCCTATGAGCACACAAGGCTGGTGGGTGGCTGGCTCATCCTTTCACTTTTCTATTGGAAAGCCTCACTGAGCACCACTGCATCTTTGTAGTCTCTTTTGCACATTCTGAAGAGGCTGAATTCCATATCTCCCCCTGCCCTCACCCAAACTTGGTTCCGAGCACCTTGGCTTCTTCCTTAGGACTCTGATAATCCAGTTCTCTGCTTACCATATTCACTTGGGAACTGAAATTGTATTATTGCTTAGAGAGTCAGGTCCTGTTGGTCCTGAATTGAATTATTGTATTTGTGGAGCCTGGTTGGCCTTAATTCATGTCATCAGACTAGCTGACCTAATTAGAGAGCTTCTGCAAGGCAAACCAGAGAAAGCCGCTTCCACACGAGACATCTTCCACCCGGTGGAGTCATGTGTGCCCGGTGAGTACATTCAGATACACCAGGGTCTTTGTTTGGGTCTCTGCTGGAGATGATCTTGAATACATAGAATCCACACTTACAGAATTTCAAGATGATAAAAAACTGCAAAGCAGCTCAACTGTTGAACACATTAATCCAAGATTCAAAAATCAACAGTAAAATGTTGCAAGAAAACCTGCAGAGCCTTCATTCACTTCTTTGTTTTGTTTAATATTATTATTCTGTTTATGATACTGTCCATGCACATAAATTGAGTTCTGACATAACACTATTTTTAAAAGATTTGAGCGTTTTGTTTAATGACTCTATATGATACAGCGTTATGATTTGTGGTTAACAAAGTGAATTCAGTCTTATTTGGCCATAGTTCAGTTTGGAGTGCTGAATTGGAGGGTATTCATTTTTTTGAAGTCCTTGATCATGCTTGGTCGAAACATTATGTTCAGCGTGGCTCCTGTTGCAAGGAGTCTTCGCCGATAGGAAAACATGCAGAGGTTGGTCGTGAGGATGGGATGGGAAGGAGTAGAAAAGATGAGAAAGAGCTAGAAAGCATGGCTCATATGGGAAGGTTGAAGAGCTGGGTCAGTATTTGGCAGAACGATTGATTGGCCCCAGCTATTGGAAGGCCTGTCTTAATGAAGGGGTGGAATTTATGCTCTATAGCTCCAGAGGGTAGGCATTTTAGGGAGGGAAGGATTTCAGTTTGACACAAGAATGTTAGTTCAAGCATTTGAGCTTGAATGTTAGTTCAGCCCAATGAAGGTGTGTCCTGCCTCGCAGATAGTAAGTCACGCTCTGGTGACCATCTCTTGAGCTTGAAATGAATCCTTCCAGTGGGTAACAGATCGGATTAGATGAATATTCTCCGCTAAGATTTATGATCTAATGCCATTCTTTCTGTTATTCAAAAGTCATTCACTAAAAAGGATATGGCACCAAAACCAAAGAGGAGGGAAATATCTTTTGACTTAATTGATTTGAATTAAATTTGGTAAGCATTTATTAACTACAGTATGCAAGGGACTGTGCTTGATCCTGTTGGGAAAGGAAAGACAGGAGGAAGGAAGCCACATGTAAGTCCTTAAGGAACCTGCAGGAGAGTAGATAGACATACACACAGGATTATGAGGCAGATGGGCCGTGCTGATGTGCACAGTAGCAGTGTGCTGAGGAGCACAGAAATGGGATTGCCAGTTCTAACTTGGAGGAGTAGGGCCGACTTCACGTAGGAGATGGTATGTGAAGTAGGCTTTGAAAGATAGGATGGCAGTATGAAGACTTGGGGCAGGAATAAACATGTTTCCTATTGGGGAGGGGACAGTACAGAGCAGATTGTCTTTCCCATCAGTGACCTGTGAGTGGCACATCAGTTCTTTGTCAAAGGAAAGGTTGCGTTGAGGGAGAGGTTGAGAAAATTGGGTCAAAACTGGGAAGGGTCTAAAATTCATGCGTGGAGTTGGAACTTTGTAAGATCTTGAGGCCCCAAAGACTGAAGTCTTTGAAGCAAAGGAGGGGCATGGCTTGGTTGTCCAGGAAGGAGATCTGGCGGGAGCATGGAGCCTGGCACATTAGAGAGACAGAGAAGGAGGCATGGGTAAGAACCCAGGCAAAATGCAAGAACGCTTGGGCCAGCACCCTGCACTGGGACCAGAGAGGAGGCAATGACTTAATAATATTGTAGTTAAGAGTCCATAACGCTACACGATTTTTTTTTTCCAGTGGATGCTTGGAGGTAGAGGGATAGGAATTTAGATTCAAGGTAATTGGGAAGATGGTGGTATCATTACCAGTCAGTGGTTATAAAATGTCAGTTGCTTTTATTACGCTGATGTTTATTGAGGGCTCTTCAGAAGCAAAGTGCTGTGATGGGGTCTGCAGGAGATGGGACTATGCCCAGGAGCCTTTGTCCCCTCAGCTGTAAAGGAGCAGATAATGTCAGCTGTTCCACTTCCTCACAAGGTTGCAGGTGGGAAAACCTCGAAAATATATGTGGAAGCATCGTATCCAGTTTTCATACACTGCAGAGAAGGGAGCCTGAGCAGCTGTCTCTTCTCGGGCACGAAGGGCCTAAGAAACTGAAACAAGCAGAGCAAGAGGGTGAGGGGAAGAGCACTGGACCACGGGGGCCTCCTGGGCACAGGCATGGAGAGCAGCGTGTCCCCTTTCCATCCCTGCGCTCTCGCAGATTAGCCACAGTGGCAGTCCTTCAGAAATGAACCAGACGCCTTGCCAGCCATTACCCAGTGCTCATGCTCAACCCCAGAGGTGCTTGGTGATGCCTGGAGACGTTTTTGCTTGCTACAACTTGGGAAGGGGATACTTCTGGCATCTAGCAGGCAGAGGTCATGGATGCGGCTAAACATCCTACAATGTCCTGGACAGCCCCACTGCCCCAGCAGAGAATGATCCAGCCCAAAAGGTCGGCAGTGCCAAAGATGACAAACTGCTCTTCCCACATCTGTGCAGGCAGGTTGAACCTGTGGACCCAAAGGTCTTTTTTGCTTCTATTTTCTGTGACTGAATATGTCTTGCAATGGCCAGTGTGTCTCACTGCTTCTGCTGCGACACTTCTCAGCACCCCTCGTTTTGTCTTGAGCACCCTGGAACAAGACCACAGAGCATGAGAGAAAGGAACCAGGATGTGAGAATTGTCCGGGCTGGAGAACACGTTTGCATCCCTGGACTCACAGTGATGGACCAAGCCATTCCGAGACCACGTGTTTGGGTGCTGATTACTACTTCCACTTCAAATGCCTTTGTCAGATACTTAAGAGCATCTGTGTGTTAAGATGTGTTGAATTGCCATCGTGAGCCTCAATCTGGATATCAGATGTCTCTTAAGGGAAAGAATCGATGTGGCAATAGCCTTGATCTGAAGCTTGTCATCATTGATTGTCTTTCCCTGGATGTGTCAGACACAGGGAGAGAGCCCACGTGGTGGTCTGGGGAGAGATGAGCTCTGCCTGAGGTTAACGAGTTTGTTCCATGTAAAGAAAAAGGAATTTATAATTATTTTGGCAGCTATTTGCTTAGGTTCAAAACAAATAGCATGTAATGTTACATGCAATCTTTTTCGTATTCTAAAATTAATTTTTGATATAAGAGTTTTTAATCATTTGTAATTATAAAGGTATTGATTTTGAACTTATTGTTTCACTGCTAACAGTGCGTGTGTGTATGTCTGTCTGTCCCTATCACTTATCATGTTTTGAACGGTTTCCCAGCTTGTTTGGGGGAGCTTTGCAGCTCTCCCAATCTATCTGTGATTGAAAAGCCACATCTGACCACTGCCCATGTGAATTTTGTTCCCATAATGTTCCCTGATGTGGTCGGAACGTTGCCTATGCTGTTGGGATAACTCGGCTCACATTGGAAGCTGTTGACAAGCCTGTCGCTGTCTCCTATTTAAAGCGGGCTGCATCAGGGAGCAGCTGTGATCACACAGGATCTGTGAGCACCACGTGCCTCACTCCGAATGGAGATTATTACTATCGTAGGTTTTCTTTAACATTTTCCAAAATAGAAACAGAATCTTTGGTTTTGTTCACAAAGAATAATCAAGAATACATTGGAAACAGATGTGCATCAAATTTTTAACTTGCAAGACCAAACTTTCTCAACACTCCAGCACAGAACTGAAAAGCTGAAACGCATTTTCAGTTATTTCTTCTAGAGTCAGACACGGAATAAACTATATTTATAAAATGGGATTTGTAGTGATAGGACCCATGTGCTGGAAATGTTTTTGGCGCTGCTAACTTTAACTCCAGTTCTCTTTTAAGCCTCCCTCTGGTCTCATGAAAGACTTTTTAAATTTAGCACAGAGCGTTTCTGTCAGAACACAGTGGTCCTTCTCTACAAGTGTCAGGATACAGCCCTTTCCTTCCGGCGTCAGATGCAGGCAAGTACAAGGGGTCAAGAGCGGGAATGGGGTCCTCTGGCATTGCACACAGGAGCCACATCAGGATTTACTGAAACATGAAGAGATCTTTATAATGAATAAAAATCCTTTTTTATATATTAAGGAACTTTGTGGGGGTGGAAACAATTGTGTCAAGCACAGAGACCAAGGTTTTAGTAAGATTTAATGAACTTTTATTCTTTTTCTATTGAACCATGAATGTGTTAATATCTGTATTTTGCATGAAAGAACGGTGCAAGTAGTGTTTTTTTTTTTTAATTATAATATCCTATAAAGAATAGATGTTGTTTGCTGTTATATCCTGTTTGCTTTTTAAATGCAATAATTTTATATTTTTCTCCTTGGAAACAATTTAGGTGAAAAGAATATTTCCCATCAAAACCTATTTCAAAGATTAGCATATGTTTGCTTAGTACTAATTTACCTCGTTTAGTTTTTTTTTTCCCAAAATTAATGTTTGCTAGAGATGGAAATTACTTTGTATTTCATTGCATAATAAGAAAGAAAATAAAGTGTTAGAGTGCCCTCTCTTGTACAAAGTGAAAATTAAAATATTTAAGATAGTAAATGTTCTGAAATATAATGATTTCATCAAGAGATGATTCAGTGCATAACTTAACTAATTCAGTGGGATGGCCCGATCAGTGGCAGTAAGTGGTAGTGCAAGGATAATGGAGTTTTATTTCTTTTCCTAAATCCCATTGACTTATGTGTTCAACATATCAATCATTTATAGAGTTAATCCATTTTATAGAGTTAACTTTAAAATATTTTACATAATATCTTGCCTCAGATTATGTTATGTATTCCTTATAAATAAATCTGTAGGATTAGTAATTTTACAGGCATGTCTTACTATAAGAAAACTCAATCATATATAGCTCTTCTTTAATTTTCAAGTAAATAAATAAGGCCATGGTTTTCTAATTTGCATGTTTACTAGTCTCTTTGAATTATAAGATTTCCTTTAAAAGCAAGCTTTCCCAGAGTTTAAAAAACGTGGTAAAGAGTAAGAATAATTTATTTTACAGAGTTTATCAAATTCATCTTTATTAATGTCAGATGATTTCTATATTAGATACTGTCTGTAAACTGCCATTGTCTTACTGCGAGCATAGTGATTATTTGGGTGGTTCCTTCACCATTTCTGTGACATATGTGGCGTTATGCCCCATTACAAATGAAGAAATTGACGCTGAAGGTTTACATGACTGGCTCACAACCAGTAAACAGCCATGTCACAGCTTGAACCCAGGTTTTCTGACTTTTAAGTCTAGGGTCTCCATAAGTAAAACATGAATAAGCAGCCTCAGAACTCTGCAGGATCTCGGGGACAACGGTTAGTTTATCTCTGTTATCAAAGGAATTTGCAGCTTAAAATGACTGGTTTCTAGAGGGGAAGTGTGTTCATTTCGGTTTGACTGCAGTTCCTTGGGTGGTTTTAGGGACTAATCATTTTACTGAAAAAAAATTGTATGAAAATTATCTCAAACACTAATGTGACAAATGTTATATAAATGACTTTTATTTCATGACTACTGTTGGCTAATATTATTTTTTTTCTAATGATGTTTAAAAATATTTTGAATGTATTTGCTAAAGCATATTTTAGTGCCATGGCTTCAATGACAAGAGGTCAGGCAATTCGAATAAGTGTAAACCTTGCTCTTTCAGAACCTAACATATCTGGTTACTAATTTTTCTCTGGAAATCATAAGTATGTATGGCTTTTGTATTTCTGTAGTTTTGAATGAATAATGATAGACAATAATTTATTAGTCAGCAATATGTGCTAAGTTAGCTGGTACCACATTATAATAGACTTTTGTATTTCCACAGTCACAGCCCTTTCCGACAACATAAAACCAAAGATAAGCATGAAATAGACCGGATGACACTCACCGTGGTAAGGAGATTAAAAACTCTCTTTTTTATTCGCATTTGTGTTCCCATTACAACGAATGTAAAAATTTGCTCTCTCAAAATAAATGAGTGACGATACAATCCCTAGAAGAACTTCTAAAAGAAAAATTAATGGAAATAGATAGCAAGACAAAAGTCAAGATTTGCTAACAATCAGTAAGAGAAGGACATATTAAATCTAGAACAAAACGAAAATAATCAAATAAAAGGTAAAATTACTGAGATGCAGAAGAGCAAGGAGGCCTTCCGATCCTTCTCACCTAGCCCCAGCCCGTGGATCGACTTTGAAAATGATTAGTAACCGTTCTGTATTTCTTTAGAGTAAATGTTCCTGATGAATCTGTAGTTTTTAACACTATCTTTATCCATGAGATGACCTTTAAATCTGGTTGAGTGTGAGGGCACTGTTTCCATGAGCGCATTTTCGAAGTTGTATTATTTTTTTTCCTTCAGAATGTGGAACTTCCAGAAGCCTTCTCCCCTGAACTCAAGTCTCTTCTGGAGGGCTTGCTGCAGCGAGACGTTAGCAAGCGACTTGGCTGTCGTGGAGGCGGGTAGGTTGGTGTTTCCTCCTGTCAGAGTCTTTTCCCAGAAAGCAAAACAGGCATTTTCAATATATCAGAGATCATTTCTAGTCTGTAATTATTGTCCATTTTGATTCCAGGAAGCAGGGTGGGGGAGGGGGTAGGAAATCACATAGGAAATATGTGTATTGTCCCATGTGTTTTATAATTAACAAGTTGAAGGAAATGCTTTTAAACTTTAAAAATTGATCATGATGGTGGAAAGGAATTCTGATATTTTGTAGTTTATTTGGTTAAGTTTTAGTAATGATTTATTTATAATTATGGTTAGTTTAATATTCTGATCAGGTTCTCACATATTTAATGCATAACTGACTAACTGCCATCTTATACATTCTATCTGACCCCTATCCCTGCAAAAAAAAAAAAAAAAGTCCAAGAAAAAAAAACCAGTGATACCTGGGAAGCTTTTAGAGGACTTAGAACAGACTTTTCCCCTACTTCTCCCCAACCCCGCCTTGCTTATCTTCCCATTCCTAGGCAGGCTTGCTTTGCATAAGAAACGGCTTTTAAACGTATGTTATATATATGTCTGTTACATATATGTGTGTGTATGTGTATTTTAGAGTAGCATATGTATAAAAAAAAACCAGTGATACCTGGGAAGCTTTTAGAGGACTTAGAACAGACTTTTCCCCTACTTCTCCCCAACCCCGCCTTGCTTATCTTCCCATTCCTAGGCAGGCTTGCTTTGCATAAGAAACGGCTTTTAAACGTATGTTATATATATGTCTGTTACATATATGTGTGTGTATGTGTATTTTAGAGTAGCATATGTATACTTATTATATGTATATTATATAGATAACCAAATAATGTGTTATATGCATATTTCCTTATTAATTTGAGAAATTACCTATTCCTACTATAACAGATGAAGATTTAGCTCGCTCATTACTTTCTACAGAGCCTTCCCTTTCTCCCACCTTCTGAAAAGAATTGAAACACTATTTTTGGTTTCTCTTTTGCTTAACATTTGTCACTTTAAATTATATACTTATCCAGTTGTACCTCGTTCCATCAATTATAAACAGGATCTTGAGTGATAAAGTGTAGGTTTTGTCATTCCTGTCTTTCACTGTCACCTTCTCTCCCACTGACTAGTTTTCGTCATTGTTAATTTTGATTTTTACATTGTCACGTTGATACTTACTCCCTATTCTGCAAGATCATAATCCATCTTTGTGCTTTGCACCTAGGCTGATTTCAAAAGTTGCAAGTGAAGAAGTAGTATTTATACTTTATGGCACCATCAGTGTGCTCATTACATAGTTTCTACATAGCCTGGTAATGAACCTTAAGTTCATATATGATATACAGATATAGATATATAGATATATATATGAGATATCCATATGTATATGTGGACTTTCATTTCCCTCTGAATTTCTTTCATGGAGAACTCAAATCTACCAGCTTCAATGACAACCAAGCGCCCTATTTCTGCTGAGCAGCATCATTCTATCCAACACGTCCCTGGTTGAATCTGCCATTTACTTGATCCCATGCCTTCTGTTTTCCTGGGCCCATCCCCCGCTCCATTAACTAGAGCATGTCCTCAAGTAACTCCTAATAGAGAGGGGGTGAGAGGTAAACTTTCTGTGTCTCTACATATCCAGAGTGGTCTCCTGCTGTCCTCAAACTTGATCGAATTTTGGCTGGATATAGCACTCTAAATGAATAATAATCTCCCACCAGAGCTTTGAAGATATTGCTTTATGGTGTACAAGTGAACAGTTGGTGCTGGTCACAGAACTGTTATCACTCATTACGTCAGGCACTTAGAGTCCTTTTTACTTGGAAGACTTATGTTCTTCAGCTTATTTTTATTTATCTGACATTTCCTCACCTCCATTTCCTTGTTTAGCTCTTAGAACCCCTGTTAGATGGATGTTGTGATTTCTGGAATGGTCATCTATGCCCTTGACCTCGAGCATTATCTGTAACTTTGCTTTGATTCTTTTTCACTTTCTGATAGCTTAAATTTCCAACCTTTTTACTGATCGCTTTTTACAATCTTTAGCAGGTTTAATTTCTTAAAGTAGAACCTTTCAGAGGTCCTTCCCCTCATTAGAATATACACCTAGCTGCTGGTGTTTGGGGGTTGGATGTGGAGGAAGAAAATTCGGTGGACATGTGTGCATGCATATGTGAGCATGCGTGCATGCGTGTGTGTGTGTGTTTCAAAGGTTCCATATATAGTTCCAACTAATATTCTATCTTCAGCCTGTGTCTTACCCCACACACACCCTGTGAGCCTGGAGCTTGGCATCTCAGTCTCCCAGGTGGCAAGCTCTACATTTTGCCATTAGTCACTGCCCCTCTGTCCACTCCCATCTTGTCTGCTGATGGTCCTCTGTCTCTTTGTGATGGGTTTATGTCTCCATGTTCCCCTTCTGTCATTTTAGTGATTGTTAGGAAGGAACAAAGTTGCACACCCAAGCTTAATCACTGACTTGAACCAGAATTCTTCTCTCTGGGGTATTTCTAATTGCTTGGACACACACACACACACACACACACACACACACACACACACACACAAACTTCTTTTTTAGCTTACTACATTTAATGTGTAGACAATGACGAGCACCAAATGGAACAGAATAAGAAAATCACCTAAGTGTTGGTGATGAAAATGCAAAGGGACACACTTCAACTTGGATTTCATTTATCCATTCGGTAACTATTTACTGAGCACTCCCTGAGTGCCAGGCACTCTCCTCAGTGCTGGGGCTGAGACAGTGGACAAGAGAGATAGGCCCTGCCTTCTCGGAGCTTACCTTATAGATGGGTAGGGGGAGGGGAGGGCGACATAATAGAAACAATCAAATAAGTAAGATGACTACAATGATAAACACATGAATGAGAAAAACAGGGCAGTGCGGTAGATGAGACACCAGCCTTGCAAAGCGGGTTGGGTAGGGACATTTTAGGCAGAAAGGTCAGCAAGGGTAGGGCTTTGAGGCAGAATCGAGCTTCTAGGATTTAGAAAAGCAAGAAAGCTGAGGAGCAAGGGGAGAGAAGTCAAAAACGAAAATGGGTCCAAATGATGATGGGATTGGGCCAGGCCCCACAGGCCCTTGTGTGTGCCAGGTAAGGTGCTGGATTTTATCGTAAGTGCACAGGAAGGCTCTGGAGAGTTTTGGCGGTGAGTGGTGATTTGGGTGCTATACGAAGTGGGTGGGCTGCAGACTGTGGTGGAAAGGGTGGAGGCCGGGAGGCGGAAAGAAGGTAATTAGAGCAGTTCAAGTGAGCTATGATGGTGACCATGACCTGGACGGTGGCTCGGATGTGTTTTGGTGTTCTCTCAGGAGGATGCAGAGCAGGACATTTAGCATCTCCTCCATCATCAAAGACACCACTGCCCCTCCTGAGCATGGCGTTGAGGACTGGAGGTGATGAGAAGTAGTCAGGCCCGGGACATGCTGAGGGTTGGCCGTAGAGTGTGAGGGAAGAGAAGAATGGGGGACGATCCTGGCTTATTGGCCTGAGATGGGAAGGAGGGAAAGTCAGGAATTCTGCTTTGGACCTTTTATTCTCATCTAAGTGGAGATGTGAAGTGGACACTTGAATAGGTGGGCCCTTTGCAGTGTAGGACAAAGGTCGGCATCTGGGGTACAGATTTGAGAGTCACCTGTAAGCATAGGGCACTTAAAGGCCCGGACAGGGTGATGTCACCCAGAGAGTGATTGTAGAGGACAAGGGCCAAGAACCAGCTCTGGGGCTCAGCAACAAGACCAGGGCTGGGGGAGAACCGTAAGTGGGGGGCGCTGAGAATATGCATATCCCTGACTCAGGCTTTCCTCAAGGTGTACAACTTCTGTTCTGCATAAACCGAGCTTTAGTAACGATCCTCAGGAAGACGTGCTTCTTAAATGTATAAAGGGGGTTGGCATGCACGATTAGATTAGATTTCTAGTTTGCTTCAAAATATTTGGTGCTTCATATTCCTCTCATTTTATCTCGCGACTTGTAGGCGTCGCTGTAAATCTCTAACGCGTAGGTCTTTCATTCCCATTTAAATTTGTTCTCGTGATTACGAGAAAAATATGTGTGTGTGTGTGTGTGTGTGTGTGTGTTTCTAAACATCACAGTGTTTCTGTGTTGTTTTGAAGCATATTTTACTTGCTTCAGGAACTGGAAATAGTTGCTCTTCTGTGTTCTTAATAGGAGATGATTTTTGCCAAATATTTCTTAGATTTCCAAATACACACTCACCACTGTTATGACTCTCTCTTCTACAGTGCACAGGAAGTGAAAGAACACAGCTTTTTCAAAGGCGTTGACTGGCAGCATGTCTACTTACAAAAGGTACTCCCTCCGGACCCCCACCTTGTTTTTGCGTGGACTCGTGCTGTGGAGACATGATCTGTTAGTCCGTGCTTCGTGCTCCTCGTCTCCATCTCCACTTCCTGGTTCTGTCCCCAGGGTCCCTTCCGCCCCAGTTTCCCTGTCCAGAGTGTCCTTCTTGCTCTCTATCCAGTGTGGCCATATGGCTGACTCCTTTGGGAGAAATTTCTCTCTCTTCATTTCCCTCTTGTAAACATTTTAAAAATATCTTCTATATAAAATAATAAATGGTGAAATGGAGCAGTTATCTAACTAATTCAAATGTCTATATAATTGAGACTCTTTTAGCTTTAGCTGCTCATCCTCTTGATTTCTTATTTCAACATGGACTGTATTTTATATTTTTCTGTATAACAGTGTACAAGAAACATTTGTCAAAAACGTAAATATACTTTCCAGCCCAGCACCATATAACTTAAGAATTAGCATAATTGTATATCAGCATAATTCCCTTTCCTTATTTTAAGATATTTTTATAGTCTCATTAATACAGGAAAACTTCCAAATTAAAGTTTTTTTTAAAATGTTGATTATCAGCTTTGGACTTGTTTTTGCGTGGACTCATACTGTGGAGACATGATCTGTTAGTCCTGCTGATTAGAATTAGAGCGAGCTCTGCTTCAGCCAGCATCGGCCTCAGGACCCTGGTTGTGGAGCGCTCTGTCTGCCCTGTTAAGGCTCTAGCATATGGAACGTGGTACCTCCATCACCTGAGAGCATGTGCTTTCTTAAGGTCGAGCTGGTGCAATGTGCAGTCTTGAGACTTCATTATATTTAATAATTATTTAAGACTGGACCTGAGTCTTTTTTCTTCTACTTAAATTTGTCTAAAATCTGGAGTCTTCCTTGAGGCCTTCAGTGCACAGGCTCATCTGTGGAACATGTAATATGATTCGTATACGTTTGACTGTAGTACACAGAGTGTAGCATATTAAGATCTTACACTGTGTTCTCTCCATAGCATGATAGGTCGGGATGGGGCCATGAGGCTGTCAGAGTAACTGAACCTTACTTCTTTGGGTCTTCCAGTACCCTCCACCCTTGATTCCTCCCCGGGGAGAAGTCAACGCTGCTGATGCTTTTGACATTGGTTCATTTGATGAAGAGGACACCAAAGGCATCAAGGTACATGCGCGATGTTTGCTTTCAGGTTTTTTGGAGGGTAGGGTTTTTTTTTTAATTGGAAATCAAACTTCGTGATTGTCTTAGTATTGGCCTGTTTGTGGAATGTAACTTATAAATGAATGTTTACATATTTGGAGAATGTAGAAGTCAAGGACCTAATTAGAAACTGTGAAAGCTTTTTTTGGACTAATCATTTTATGTTGATAAACTGCAAAATGGTCGCATTTTGACTGATTTGGATATATTTGTGATTGAAATAAAACTTGAATGTATGGGAAGCAGGATAAAAGAACTGTGTGAAAGCAAACATAGTTTTCCTTGTGCCCAAGAGCCAGTCATCTTAATCTTCTAAGTATTTAGATCTTTCTGTATTAGAATTAAAGGAGAAAACAGCATGAATCATGTTGCATTTGTCAATCAAAAGTGAAATAATCATTGGTTTTTTAATATAATCCTCTGCACTTTTCAAACTTTTGTTCATATCATTATTTTTCTAAGTAGACAAGATATAATTACAGATGGTGAGTCATGAGACAAACCCCCTTCTTTAGGATGCAAAGTCAAAGTGTATCACTACATGTCATGTTCTCATCTGCCCCACGTTCACAGCTTCCTCCAGAATTTCTCCAGACCCTCCTAGATGCTCCCTGTCGCCTTTCAGCTGCCTGTGTTTACACCTTTCTTATTTAAGCTGCCCCCGCCCCGTCATTTCCCCACCAGTAGCTTCTCCCGCCAGAAGGCTGCAGCACTATGAACACCCACACTGCGAAGTATAGATAAAAGACTGACAAGTGAAATGCCAGGACCCAGCAGGGGCTGTCATTAGAGAGCCACAGAACTGGAACCAGATAGGATATGGGGAGAGGAAGAGTGGATAAGTGGCTGGAGGAAGATGTGAAGATTGTGGAGAAGGAGAGCAGCCAGTGAGAGCAGGATGAGGAGGCCACGGGGAGTCGGGAACTGGGGAAGGGAGTGGCAGTGGGTGTCAGGATAGGAGAGGCTTTCGTAAATGCGATTGCGGTGTTCACGGGACAGGCTTCCCAGGAGCGGGAGGTTAGGAGAAGGAGATGTGGAGAAAGTCAAGGCCACCCCTGTGGTCTGGAGCAGTGGCTCTCCTAGGAGACAGCAGTGTGATCATTAGGCATCTTTTGTAGCCTGGACAGACATGATGAGTCAGGCGTGTAAGTACCAGTCTACAGCAGTGCTTTGGGGAACAGTCCATTTACAAAGCTATTTAAAAGGATTACCGCTGTCACAACAGAATTTTGTCATCAGATGTACTACTCTCCATCAAAGGGTGCTAAAAATAAAACAACTATGATGTGGGAGCCCACGAAAATTTTTAGTGTTAAAAAGAGATTCTCATTCTTTAAATTTTGTAAACCATAATCTGGGCTTTGGAGTCACACATTCTGGGCTCAGATCTGCACTTATTAGCTGAGTGAATTGGGGCCATTTAGGTAACCCCGTGAGCTTTGCTTTTCTTCCCCTGTCAGGTGACTGGATCCATTGCCACGCTTTCTCTGATCATAAATGACATAACCTGTTTAAGTCTCCTGGCATATTGTCGATTCTTACACTAGTAGCTTCTATCATTGTGGTTTTGGTTCTTCCTGACCAAGAGCTGAGAATGAGCACACTTACAACAGGAAGTGGCATGTGGCAGGGCTATAGCTAGAAGTGAGAAGCCCTGGTCCTGGCCCCAGGATGTCCTAGTTCAGCTCAGGAATCTGCATTTTAAGAAACTGTTTATTCTCTATCTTTAAACAAGCAGCCCAAACAATACATTATTCTTTAAAACAAGCAAACAAACAAAAAAAACTTCACATATAGATATGTTTTCTTCTGTGTTTTAGTCATTTTTAACAACATAGGCCAAGTCATAAAGATCAAGGCTTTCTGAAATTATAGGAGTTGGAAAGATTTGTATATAAAGCAGAGTTGACCATTTCAGAACAACTACTTAGGAAAGGAGTGTGTTTTCACTTTTACCAAACTCTTTAGACTCAGTCCCAGTGTCTCTAATCAAAGGGATCCCTTCTGGCCTTGGTGTTCTAACACCCTAGCACACACACACTGACACATATGGGTGTGCAGACACCTCTAGTGCTCACACTCAGAACAGCCGAGGATTTTTAGCTCTGGGCCTAATTTGGACATCCGAATAAAACGGAAAGGGGAAAGGATCTGTGAATCAAAGTGATCTTAAAACCAGCACATTATCGTAACAGGCTAATGTAAAAGTAGATGGAGAACGCCCCACATTGGGACTTGGATGCAAGTTCTTCTGGCGTTTCATCCTTGCTCTTTCTTTCCTTCTAAGCAACTTGCCTGTTATAATATCTGTCCAGTACAGATGCTCCTTGACTTATGATGGGGTTACAGCCTGATAAACCCATTCTAAGTTGAAAATGTTGTAAACTGAAATGCATTTAGGACACCTAACCTACCAAACATCGTAGGTTGGCCCAGCCGACCTTAAATGTGCCCGGAACACTTATATATTACCTACAGTTGGGCAACATCATCTCACTCTCGCTGCCCAGCATCACAAGACGGTGTTGTACTGCACATTGCTAGCCTTAGAAAAGATCAGAATTCAAAATTCTAAGTATGGTTTCTACTGACTGCGTATCACTTTCATACCATCATAAAGTCAAGGACCATCTGTACTTATCTCTCAGACAAAGGAGTCAGCAAACCAAGTTTCTAAAGGGATTTGTGCTTTTGAAGGACACATGCATTATTTTCTATCAGAAGAATCATTAGCCTTTCTGTCACAAAACTGTAGCTCTGATGCATCAAACCATTTTCTTTGCTCATTTTCAGAGTGCAGCCTCACCAAGGGGGAAGAATGAAGAAAGTTTGAGTAACAGTTTGGAAAAGAAATGCTATCATTAAGCGTAATTTTTATTACAGCATCTCTTAAAGGCTAAGTTGCCTAAATTTCATGTATGTTGAGCTTCATGCTTATACATTCGATGATACTTTTAAATTTGGGTTAGTTGAAATTCATGGAATGAATGGTAAAGGTGGCTTAGTTTACCTTTTGTTTTTCTCACTTTTCAGATTAATTGAAGGTGGTTAGAAAACTCTCCTGGCTCCTCCCTTTTAATTGTTTCTAAAACTATCCAAGTCTATTTTCAGTACAAATAAGATATCCTCACCATGACTGAAATTTAATTTTGTGATCAGAACCTTATAGAACTTCAGATAAAACCCTGTATAGGTTAGCTTTCACAGGCAAAAATGCGATGAAGATACTTTAGAAGATTGGGGTAAACTTAACTGATTTGGACTGAAAGTAAAGTGCTCATCAGTTATAACCATTTGTGGGTCTCGGTTGCTTGGTTGTCATTAGTAGAGATTTATGACAATTAAATTGTTCTACATGATTGTATGCTGTCATCTAGTTACCTTCCTATGTACAATTATGATGCTGCTGAATCTGTTGCCTTTGTAAGTTTGTTAAATCACAAATATCTTAATTTCTTAAAATAAGCTTCTTGATTGCGACCAAGAACTCTACAAGAACTTCCCTTTGGTAATCTCTGAACGCTGGCAGCAGGAAGTAGCGGAAACCGTTTATGAAGCAGTAAACGCAGACACGGATAAAATCGAGGCCAGGAAGAGAGCTAAAAATAAGCAACTTGGCCATGAAGAAGGTAACATAGTTAATGTCTCTCAAGATATTCCTAATGCAGTGAATTTTCAAAATTGCTCGTAAAGCTGAAAACGTATTTGGGTCATAAAGTACTTTCCAGTAGAGTGAGGGAAATGCCATAAGTTATTTTAGTTTTATCTGGCTTCAAAAGTTCAGTATAATATTTCAAAATATTTAGTCAACATAAAAATAAAAATGTATGAAGATGGCAGCATTTTGTTAGTATGTCCTTTTATCTTGGAGTGTTTGGGGGCAAGTTTGGAAGTTTTTCCTTAAAGAGTGAGTATTGCGGTGTCAGGAACAGGACCAGTGTCGCGGGCATGTGCAGTCTCATAGGTCACCCCACTTGGTTTAATGCTCTGCTGTCACTTACCACCTTGACATTCTTAATTTTTGATCAAGGCGCCTGCATTTTCACTTTTTACTGGGCCCAGCAAAGTATGCAGCTGGTCCTAGTGAGGAACTTGTCAGGAGATGAATGTATTTATACAAACAGCAATAAAGAATCACCAAACCATATTTTTATTTATAATATTTGAGTGCCCTATTTGGACTTCCAAGTAGACAACATAATATCGAGTATTAATTAATTATTCTTAATGCACCCAAAATTGTCACTCTCGATTTTTCTATCATTTTGTGGTTTTTGGATATTGAGATTTATTGTGGTCGATGATTATGGTAGGATACTATTTTATTTTACCTCCAAGCAAAGACCTTTTGATATTAACTTTATATAATAAAAATGATCGGAAACAATTTTGTTCCATGACTAGGTTACTTTGCAGGGGGGCATCTTCAGTCTTTACCAGTCTTGTCCACAGTTTCTCAGTAGCATTTATCATCTACTGAAAAAAGTGTCCTCGATGTGAGATGAATTAATTACTCCTATGTAAAAGTGCCCTGAGTACACCAACGGAATATTCCAACCCTTTGACTGTGCCTACCTCCGTTCTGCAGGGAAAGGGGCTTTGTTTCTAAGCTGTTCTGTAGAGAACAGCTCCATTGAGATTACTCCAGACTGTGTTTGCTGTAGTGGATTTTACACAGGAAATTCTATCAATGGTAATTTGCTCCAGGGAGGACCCTGATGTCATTCGAATCTTGACAAATTAGACCCAGGAAAAAATGACCTTGCTGAAGCGTTTCCTTTTAATTAGAGCTATAATTGGAGCGTCTAACAAATTAATGTATTTGTCTTCATGTTTAAGTAATTAATTTGGGCATAATGAGGTCTCGGTTAAAGATCTCAGAAGTCACCTTTACAGAACAGTATAGGCTAGGCTTAGATCTCTGGAGTGAAAACTTGGACTCCGAATACAGTTTAGAAGTGCTGACACAGTTGCCGTTATAATGGCACCTCCGTGAAGCTCACACCCTGTCACAGCTGACCCACCCTGGTTCCGTCTTCGTTTGTTCTTTCCCCCTCCTGCAACACAGCATGGATATTGCTTGTTTGACTGCGTCTGAATCTCCTACCAGAATGAAAGCTCCCTGAAGGCAAGGAGTTTTGTCTTTTTTACTCATTGCTGAATCCGGAATGCCTAGAACGTGCCCAGCGTTTAGGCGCTCACTTAATAGTTGTTGGATGAATGACTGAGGAAGCGAATGAGTTATCTTAGCACAATCACCCAAGCTCTTAATAAAGGCAAAGCAAGCCACTTAAAATTAACCTTTTTTATTTTATTTTTGAGTCAGTACTTTACTATAAAAGGGTAATCGGGATTCAACATGAGTATGTTGAGTCTCTCTACATACCCACATATTTGAGGGATAAACATAACTAAGTCAAGGAGTAAACAGATTTTGATCCTTGTGTTACTTTGGCTTACTTCGACAAGAAAATCCCCATTCTGTTATTATTGATCAAATAAGGGGTAGGGTAAAGATCGAGCCTCAGTCCCACATAGAGACAGAGGTGCTTTGGGTGTGGTTTGAATTTAATTATACTATATTCTCCAGATCTTGTTCTACATAATGAAAAAATAGTTCGAGAACAAACTTTTGCCCTCAGAGCAATAAATGAACATCATCATGAATTTATCAGAAAATTGAGAAGCAACTATTTAGTACTTTAGTAGAGAAACAGCTAAAGAAACCTCTGTTCTTAGATTCCCAGTTCACATTCATTTAAAAACTGAAATAATGATCTCTACAATGTGTTGCTTTTATAGAAACTTGATTTTCCCAAAAAAGAATGTAATTCTCTCTTTCCAAGAATAATATAGACATTCTGTTTCAGAGCATATTTAATGTATAGTTATTTTATATTCCTCAGATTACGCTCTGGGAAAAGACTGTATTATGCATGGGTACATGCTGAAACTGGGAAACCCGTTTCTGACTCAGTGGCAGCGTCGATATTTTTACCTCTTTCCAAACAGACTTGAATGGAGAGGAGAGGGAGAGTCACGAGTAAGTCTAACGCATATTACCAAGTGCTCACTGTTACTCTTATCGAATGTCATATGATTGTTTTATATTGCTGGCATATCTTGTAAAATAGCCTCCTAAGCTCTGTGTGTCTATTTTAACTTGTATGCATGAGATTTTCACGTTCAAACTGTAATGTTTAAACTTCTGAATCGAGGAAGGATTTTGTAATATCTGAAAACCGAATGTGCCATTTACTGAGGTCAAAAGCCGACAGATTCGAAGAAGTCTGGAGAGTGGTTGAGTAGATCAAACAAGATGAAAAATCTAGGACTTTGGCACCAGTGTCTCGGGTACTTTGAGTACATTATGCTGACTCTCCAAGCCTCAGTTTCCTCATCTATAAAATGGGAGAAGTAGAAATTACAACAACTACGACAACTGTTTGCATATTTATCTTCAACCAGGTGCTGTTAAAAAAAACAAAAAAAAACTCATTTAATGTGTACCAATCTTTGAGGATCCAGCTCTTATTTTATAAAGAGGGAACCAAGGCTTAGAGAGGGAAGGTCTGGCGCCCACGACATCATTAGATGGTTGTAAGTGAGGAGTGATTCTGACCAGGCTCCGCTCGCACTCCCAGTGTCTCCATTATACAGCTGGCCTCCCCTAGTTGAAGGCAAATGAAATGCAGTAAATGATGTAAGCTGTCATGCTTGGCACCGAGGCAAGGTCACCAAACCATCCTTCCTTTCATCTCTACCTAGTCAGAAAATTATAAGTGGGTTCCATACAATAGTCGGGAAGACACATCTACCCTCTGAAGTCCTTGCAAGAGTTAATATTTGTGAACAAGATAAAAAGAAATTTCTGATCCACACTGTCCCTTTTAGCAAGTCAGGCAGCATTTATTAAGTGCCTGCTGTGCGAGGAGCCCAAGACTTGTTACCATGGAACACTGCCAGCCCAGGTGGGTGGTACGCTTCCACTCTTGGGGAGGGAATGGTTAGTCATTGAGGACCAACTAAGCAAGACAGTGGTCCCACATGTTCAAAACATAGTTGATGTGTTGGATATATCAGAATGCTGCCCATCAGTTCTCCAGTGATCAGCAGTGTGGATAGAAAGAAGCCCAATTATTTGACTTGGGAATGTGTTTTTTATACCCCTGTTGGTAAAGTTGCTGTTTAATTATGAGTGATTGCTACTGCATATTACCATATTTTACATAAACAAGATCCTCTCACTATTACTAATGCCATAGAAAGCATTTTCTAAAAATTAATACATCTAGGATCTGAGTTATGATTAATCAGACTCTTTGGGGAGGGGTCCTGATTGTAACTCAGCTGCTGATGTTATATAATATATACATTATAATATATG